TATCCCCTTGTATCTTTAGTTATAACTTCAATCGCTAGAGTTTTAATAAAATGTCATGGTTATTGAAGTAAATAATATTCCTTTGAGAAAAAGAGAAGAGCAAATTTTAATAAAATATCACAGAAGGGGAAGAACTATATGGAGGAGGAGAAGAGGCTTTTGAGGGATAGTGGGGTGTATTCTGATTTTGATGGGAAGAACTATATGGAGGAGGAGAAGAGGCTTTTGAGGGATAGTGGGGTGTATTCTGATTTTGATGTGTAATTTATATTAATAATGTTAGGATGTAAGTCTTTTGAGGGATAGTGGGGTGTATTCTGATTTTGATGTGTAATTTATATTAATAATGTTAGGATGTAAGTAGAAAATGATAAAGTTTGTGAGCAATGTTACAGTGGCCTAATGTTATTTTAGTAAAATTTAATCAGGTTGGTAGACTAATATATTTGAGAAAATAGTATAGAAGGGACTTTCCTGAAAGATATAGGTTACACAGAAATTAGAATGTTTCTTCTAATAGCCTTATTTGATTTGTAAATTAGGTGAAGACTTGCTGGAGTAACACAAGTCTATCATATATGATGAAGTTGTACTCACGTTGTGTGGAAATGGAAAAAGGGTATTTATTCACTTTGGTACCCTAAAGTTTACCTCTTTTATCAATTTGGTACACTCAATATACTTTTAAACTTTAATACCTCAAATTTTCTTACCTATTTCACTTTGATACCATTTGTTGGACATGTTTGTTTTGTTGAGCGTACCATGTAAAATTCCTTATAATACTTTAATTCAAACATAACTCAGAACAAAAAAAATAACATAATGTAATAAAAATTACATAATTTTAAAAAATTAAAAATCTAAAAACCAACATCCAACTTAGCATTTGTAACTTTGGCCTAGCGCTCTCAATTAAGGAGGATAGTTGATAATATTTGGTTATTTTATAATTTGTTTCAGAATTGACTTACCTTTCTTTTCTCTTAGCAATTCTAACTTTGCCCTAGCGCTCTCAATTGAGGAATATAGTTGATATATTATTGTTGTTGGTCTGCTGAGGATTGTTATGCTTTCAAGTTAAGATAGTTGTTAATACACATTCATTATTTGTCTTTGTTGGTCTGCTGAGGATTGTTATGCTTTCAAGTTAAGATAGTTGTTAATACACATTCATTATTTGTCTCATCCAAATCTTTCAAGTTAAGATAGTTGTTAATACACATTCATTATTTGTCTCATCCAAATGTCTGAATATCATCATACTATATAATTGCATGATTTGATTCTGGTTGTAGCCTGAATGATACTTGTTTTTTATATTTATTTAGTAGAGTAATGTATATTATTGATGAATAAATAAAGTGTTGTTTTGGCTTGTATAACATTGTTTTCTATTGTTGAGGATGCACCCATTGTACTATCGCCCAATTGATCCCTAAATGTAATTTCTTTGTTCAAATATTGTGAATTTTAGCTTTTGTCCATATGTTTGCTCCATCATTTACATTCAATAAATTTTTACAACAACATTCTCTAAATAAAATTATCAACTTAAAATAAATCTAAAAATTTTACCATGTGCATTGCTCGTGCAATCCTTCCAGATTGTATGATATGGTCTACATGAGTGTTGTGGCTTCATTTGTTGCTTTGACCACTTCTAATAACCCCTAATGGATTTTATTCATTGGACCTTAGAATATACGATTTGGTTATTTTGTCTTTGTAATATTACCTGGTTATGTGCAAAATACCTCTCACATGCCACCATCAATCTAACTTCTTTGACGAGAACATTTGGTATTTATTAAGTCATACTTTCAGGTGGTTGTTCAATGTACTGAATTTATTTTGTAACTATAAAATGACGGTGTTTTGCTTAACCTTAAGGACTTGGGTAGTCAATGAAACCAATGTACATAGTCTTATCAAATAAGAAGTTGAAGCTTTGAAGGGTTTATGTCTCTTTATTAGTGAAATGTTTTGTCTTAATAGCCCTTTTCTAAAGTTCTTTGATACCTATTCAGATCTGCTAAAACATCATAAACCTCAAGCATGCAAAAAAAGTATGATAAAATATAACTATTACCTAATGAAAGTAGTGGAGAGACTAAATTCCCAATGCACCACATTGCACCACTGGTTAAACTTTAAAATTAGAAGCAGAGGAGATAAGAACAATTCAAAAGACTAATATTATTAACTGATACAGCATATATCTGAGATCATCATCTCCAAACTGTTGCTAATTTTCTGTTCATGTATGGACCTACATACCGGTAAGCATGAAGGAGCCATGAAAAGTGATGAATTTGGAAAAGTAATTGGAGACGTTGATTCCTTTAAAAGAAGTTCTGAATTTCACTCTAGGTTCTGTTGAAATGCACCATGAACTGTTAATCGATTGAAGGCCTTCAAATTCTTGAGAACTTATCAGATATTTATTCATAAATTTAGAACTTTAAGGTTGTTCATGGAAAAGTTTTTCTCAATGGAATTATATTGACATGCTAAAATTTTCTATCAATATCTTAAAATTTATTTAACTCCGGTGTTACTATTAGATCTCTTTTGGAATCGTTTTGCTAATATTTTACATCTAAGAAGAAAGGGTAATGAATCCTTGTAGGAAGGGAAACTTATACACACAAGTTCATATAAATAAAAAGTGACATTTTTTAAGAAGCACCTTCTCTCAATTAATATATTTATTTTCTTAAAACAAATGAATTTAATAATGTAAAAAGGTTTTATGATGTAGTTAAATAGTTAGATTGACTAACAACTTAGTTCAGAAAATTCTTTCAATTTCTCCCTTTTGGCATTATTTATTTGCAGTTTATATTTTTTTACAAACGTTCCTTTTATGTTGGAGATACCTACTCTTATAATGCTTGTGTAGAAGGGAAAAGGGAGATTGAAGTCTTCAGATAAACTGTAGAAGGGGAAAGGGGGATCGAAGTCATTAGATAAACTTCAGCATTTTCAGGACAGTGATTACATTCTTATTAACTTATCTTTCTCTTTACTCTACAATATGGCATTTAGCTGACAGATTTTATTGTCATTTTAGTGCAGAGTCTTGACACTAAAAGAAGACTATGCATCTTTGGCTTTTGTCGGTCCATTGAAATGCTAAGTGATGTTGTTGAAGACATTGTACTAGAACATGGAGGAGAGGTAACTTGAGAAGCACATTATAATGCAGAGTTGTGTTTAAAACTGGTGTTCTTGTTCTTGCTTTTAGTCATATTGTATAAAATTATACAGAGCATGCGTGCTTCAATTCCTTTCTTATCATTATAAAGAGGAATAAAACTATCAATTGTAAAATTACACTTTTATTTATATTTTCACTGAAAAGGTTTGGAACCGAGTTAAATGATCTTTCTACATACTAACATTAATAATTTGATACCTCATTTACTAGAAAATATTCATTTAAAAATAAGTGTAATAAATTGTTTTGATTTATATTCTTGTGTACACTGAAAAATAAAAATCTGAAAAATCTTGAATGCAAATTAATGAATCAATGCTACATGTTAAAATATAACTAAGTCTTAGTATACAATTATCCATCTTGAATGCAAATTAATGAATCAATGCTACATGTTAAAATATAACTAAGTCTTAGTATACAATTATCCTTTTAATAGTGATATAAGATTTGCAATGCTACATGTTAAAATATAACTAAGTCTTAGTATACAATTATCCTTTTAATAGTGATATAAGATTTGCAAAAAAGGGGTGCTCCTTTTGGGCCTTCACTAGGCTATCATATGTTTGTTTAAACATGTATATAAACTCTAAATTAGCTTAAAATGATTCAATGAATAAATTAGAGTGGAATGCTAAACTAAATTATCAATTTTAGCTAAATCTAAAAATTCATACTACGTGCATTGCTCGTGCAATTCACCTAGTAAAAAGTAATTGTGTAAGAAGGCAAAGATAGTTGAATGTAAGTCGTACTTCGTGAGTTCTAACGTTTTTAAGGCGGAAGGATTTATTTTGAGAACATAAAATACCAAACTAAAGAAGTACATTTTGATTATGGGGGGAAACTATGTAGTATATTAATCATAGCATATTTTGTGCGTCCTAATTTTTTATTTTTTATTTTATTTTATTTTATTTTTGGTTCGTTTGTTTGCAATAAATGCAAATGGAGGCAGTCTGCGGGCATATTGCACTCTTGTACCAGGTTGTTGAACTTTGAAAAATAAAAGACTCATATAGACATATACCGGATATTGCGAAGTTAAGAATTTGTAAGGTAAGCATTAGGGGTGCTAAACCGTATCTATATTCGAGAAAACATCTGTAACCGTATCCGTTAGGATACGAATATGATTACTCAAATCTATAACCGATAGGATATCGTTACGGATTTGGTTTTGTAGTGAAATTTCCGTATCCGTATCCAAAATATCGGAATACACATTAATCATACTTTTACGATAGTTTCGATTCTTAGATTATGGATTTGTGATTAATTTTGATGATCAAGATGTCTAATCTTAATTTTTAAATTATAATGAACATATTAACACTCTTTTGTATTACATGAACTATGTTTTTCTCCATACTATCTAGTTATACTATCTAGTTCTCTCATATCCGTTTTGTATCCGCATACATATCTGCTCATATATCTGCATGTATATACATTTTCCTTACTGAGATATATCTGTATTTATATCCGTATCCAAGATGAACAAGCAGATATGAATATGGTAAACAACATATCCGAGTCGTATCTAGACCGAGTGCAACCCTAGTATTCGCTCATTGTACCAGCGCAAACTAGTTAATTATCTTATGGGTCCTATCCTTGCACTACAGTTGATCAGCATAAAGCAGCAAATCAGACATCAAGCAAAATTGCGCGATGCTAGGAAACCAGAAGTACATAAAACACCCAAACAAACCAACACAAAAGGAGATAGCTGGTCCTAAAATTTTGGATACAAGTAAAATGCATTCTCCAGTGATTCAAAACCATTGGACATAGTAGCAGTCAAAGAAGCATAACATTACCTCCAAACAGCTTTACATTTATACATGCAACCTGTTTAATACCATAGTAGCAGTCCACATTCTCCAGGAATTGATGCACGAAGAGTAGGAACAAATTGCAGCTTAACCAAACAGTACACATGACATAGTTGAACAAGACATGGAACAGTTTCAGAATTGTCCACGGGTCAATGAAAGTATAATCTGATGACTGCCAAAAAGTCGGCGACCAATTGCCACAACCATTTTAACTACAGATCTGAAAGCACGCTCAACTCAGTGAATACTAAGCCTATCATCCATCATATTCCCCTTGAGCAAACTTATTCTCCGGGTAGAATACAGCCACCACTTGATTACCGCCAAATTTCCTCCCGTTCAACCCTACCTTAGCCTTAGTAGATCCATCAGTATCCGCATATTCCAAGAACACCTACAAAGAAAGAAGAGATGTATGGATTATGTAAATAAATACAGTAAAAGCTTAAGGATTGATTATGGAAGAATTATAAGAAATCTCTCAAACGGTACCAGTGTGGAATAAGAAAACAACATATAAGAATGTTCCCATGCTTTTACCTTTCCAACTCCAGGAGCAAACTCCCCATTTGGGTCTGGACGAGGAATTACTACATTCACCAATTTACCTGCACATTCACAATGAGCACGAATTCCGAGGAAAATTTTAAACTTCAAAAACAAAAGTGAAACTTATAAGCACATCAACAAAGAAAGACTAAAATATAGCTGTATGCAGGCCAGGTCAGCAAGAACATTAAGCTTGAAGATATAATGACAAACAAGATTTTCTCTAATTTTATAAGTGGTACATGCAGGACAATTCCACAGAGAAGAACTTTACTAATAGAGAACAATCAACAAATTTTGACTGATTGTCTACTCACCGTATTTCCCACCCTCTCCCCTCATGTCCTCCAAAATGTCTTCATATTCCTCATCATCTTTCAATTCGTCTGGATTAACCACCTCTGTTAAGCACACCACTTTTGTCGGAAGACTACCTGCTTGATACACCATTTTCTGCGACAAATGATAAAACACACATGAGAACAAGTTCATTATTTTTAACTCAATTAAAATAGAGCCGATAATGGATCCATGCCAGAGGTTTCAAAGTATGACAAAATTTGAACTATAACCTGCGTGGGATTTCATAAAAACAAGGGGCTTAAAACTTATTATTGCAAACTGACTTACCTCAGACATAGGGAAATTTTTCTTGTATGGCATAATCGGATGTCATAAATAAAAAACAAATGGTTAAAGAAAAACCAGAAAGCACGTGTTTCGAAAGAAAGCAGATTCTATTTAGAAGGATAACGTTATTGAAGATTTTCTAAGCTAACAGATCAAGTAAACTTTGCATACCTGCAATGCCACCTGTTGTTGTGCATGTAATAATACACTTTCTTGTTCTGGTCTAGGCTGCACGGCACCCTGGTTTGCACGCCTAACAGTAAGTGTTTTATCTCCCATCTTAATGCCATTAAGAGCTGCACATGCAATATCTGTGACGGAGAGATCTTGGTATACACAGAAGGCATAGCCTTTTGAGTTTCCAGTTTCACGGTCCTTGACAAGATCAAAACCTCTTAGTGGCCCAAAAGACTCAAGCAACTCCCTTACTTGTGCTTCAGTAAAATAGTATGGAAGCCCTCCTACAAAAATACGATCAGGCCCCTCTAACCCACCAGCAGAACCAGGCGTCAGTCCAACAGCTGCAAGATTGAGATTCGGATTTGGCTGGCTTGGGCCAAGTGCAGCAGCCAGAGAAGGGTTGTAGTCACTTGGTCTTCTAACTTTTACCGGTGCCCCCTGAATAGAACAGAAACAGTCAACTATAAGACCGGAAAACTAGTAGCATCTTATATACGGAAAGCAATAGATCTGTGCATAGCTATTTGATGTTACGAAACTACAAACCTCAAATATGATTCCATCCAAGGCCATTGCATTGCTTGCCTCTTCAACGGACCTCATTTCCACAAAAGCAAACTTCTTTTCGTGGTTTATATATACATTAACAACAGCATCACCTTCAGAGAACATGACAATTATTAGATAGCATGCACGGTAGGGGTAAACAATTGTACAGAGAAAAGCTAACCTGGACCAGCTGTGTTTCCTCCAATCGCAGACATAACATGGCTAAAAAATGTTGCAACCGACTGTAGACAAACATTTAAAGAAAAATATCAGATTGAAACATCGACATCTAGCAAGAAAAAGGAGAGAGAAATAAAAAAGAAAAAAAACAAATGAAAACGAATCAAGACCGTCTTTCACTGAATTGCCTAAAAGCATTAAACATGAAAAAGAAAATTCAAACTTGTCATAGATCATTATCATATGAAAAGAGACTACAACTGATACCATCACATGACAAAAGCCAAAATAACTAAAAAAATGTTACACACTTGCCGACAAAATGTGATTATTCAAACTATGAATGCACAAACTCGAAAGGATTTTCAGATGTGGATAAACATAAAAGAACACTAAACACTCAAAATGGTGAATGAAATATTTTTAGACTAGAAGGATGTGAATTCATACTCAGATCAGGCACCCACTTAATTAATTAATTATTTTTTATTTTTTTATAAGAAAGTAGAGAAGCAACCACTTAAATTTGAATCTACAATCCACGTGATCATGATGCAACAGACACTGCTTCAAACAACATCAGACAGTGCATGTAAATAGGTAAATTGCTAAATATGAGATTGAGCACTTTAAATCAATTCACTCACTTCATGATGCCTAAACTCAAAGATGCACAAATCTTAAGACTGAACAAATATATGAATGGACAACTATAGGACCACAGATTAGAATGCACAATTGCACAGACATGTTTAGACTAAAACAAATTTGAGTGAATATCTCCATAAACAAAAGTTAAACTATCAACCTTGCGCAATATAAACAACGCAAAGAGCCTTCCTAGTTCCAAACATAATATGTAGCTCCACATAAGCTAAATAGACATATAAGTTGTTAAAAGTTAATCCGATCAACATAATTAGTAGCAACACTTTATCAAGCATGCTAGCAAAAAAGTGTGTAAAGTTCTGTACATCTTAAAGTCTGCTTTGATATATTTATTTTATCTTAAGACAGTTTCTAAACCAGCAGATACCAATTTACTATATGAACTATCTTTTCAACAGCATCATAAGAATCCAATTTGACCATTCAACATAAATAGGATGATAACTGATAAGCAGCGTAACTATGAATGGTATGTGGCATCATATATGTACACACACACAAATTTTGCGTTAAAAATAATGAACTACAATACAGACCCCAGAGCCAGCTTAACTGACCGTTTTATGATATCCCAAGGTGTAAGTTTTTCAGCTAAACATTGAACTGCCAAAACAAATGGCCAGATTGAAAAAGCACTTGCAAGTTAGAGATCATACAAAATGCAATATTATAAACAAAAAATCACTGGTACACAAACAAACAATGAGAGATTAAAAAAATCAAGGCATAAAAAAAGGGTGTTACCTGCTCATTAGCAGTAGGAGAAAGGCCACCTACATACACACGTCGTGCATGGCGAGTTGCCTGTGATTAACAAACCTATGTTAATGACATGAGTTATATATTAAAAAACTGTCATTGAACTGCATATCAGACGGTCGTACCTGCTGAGTCATTGCCTGCACTGGCATTAAAGAAATAGCTGGGAACTGGCACAAAAGCAAAGATGTTAGAATAGGTTCTTCTCTTAAATTACATTTTATATGAAACCAGATGCCCTTAGAAAAAACCAAAAGGATTCTCCATGAGTCAGGAAGCATACCTGCCCAGGTGTCATATTATTGAGCATGTTTGGGAACATTCCAGGCACAGCAGGTGCTGCACCAGTTACCTGGCCTGTGAATAAAATTCAAGCTATATTACAGCATATAATACATCAAATATTATAGTAAGTAGCAGAAATATGTGTACAGCATCATCTTTATAGTCTTCATGAGTAGGGAGATATGCTTGGCTTCCCTACGAGTTTACCAAAAAAACAAAAGAACTTATTATTTTGAACTATTGGATGAAATATTTGTAAGACTACCAAAAATGAAATAGTTGCCCGTTGAAGAAGAACAAGATCCATCAAACCCGGGTCCTCGTACATTAAAGCTACAGAAGTCGGGGCTCATGCCCATTGGCACCACACTGGAACAAGTTGCCCAATATTGCCTTCTTATAACAAGATTACACAGAAAACAAACAAACAACAAAGACAAGAAAACAACCAAAAAAACCATGCTCAGTTTCAGAACAACGTTATTAAAATAAAAAACATACATATATTTAATCCAAATATTCAGATCAAGTTGCCAGTACCAACCAAGTTATGTTAGTTGTCATATTAACTCTAGTTTAATTAACAGCATGCATTACGATCTAGAAGTTAATTGCTTGCATATTAGAGTTACTATGTACACAGATAAATGTACCTGGAACTGTGACACCAGGCATCAGCGCGGATGCAGGAGGAGCCATGTCAAAGCCACTGATTCTTTTACTGCACAATTAAAACAAAACTAGGTAAGAATATTAGTGATTGGCACTATTGCAAACAGGAGTAACTAAGTAATGAACCATGATAAACTTCTATTTGAACATAGACATATCCATCAGAAGAATTATGTGACGTTGTGAACGCGAGTCATATTATATCTAATCGTACCATCAAGCAATTTCTATTTGCTACGGTCAGATACATCCATGTCAAACACCGCCAACATCCTAAACATCCATTCATCAATTACTAAAGCACACAAGGAAGACTATAGCATAATGGGACATATAAGTATACTGCAAAGCTATATGGTAAGTTGCATTTGTGTTTTTTTCTTCTATTGTGATGAATATGAATATATATATATTTTATTCAAGCGTACATGTGAAGATATTAACTCCTTCTAAGAAGCACGGATACTTATGAAGTCATCTCGTGTCAAACTCTATTTGTATCTTGCCATGTCAGACACTTCTTGTGTATCTTTGCTGTTCCATTTGTGCATCAGTATAGCATGTTGTGTCACATTCATGGCTCTGTTCATGCAACATTAATTATATATCCATTTTTTATCAAAAAAACAAACCAACTTTGATTGAAATATACCTAACATTAGTAAGCATCGCTCACAATGAAAGAAAAATGAGCTCATATTCACTATGACACAATGTTACTTTAATTTGTCAAACTATGACCTTTCATATATTTGGACATGTATTCAATGATTTACATATTGATCTGGATGTTCGGGATAGTTAATCATTCTCCTATTTATGAGAGATGCCTTCGAACCAGTATGTTCAATAGTAGGTCAACAATTTCATCACCTTCATATTTTTGCAAGTCAACTTGACTACACATGATATGGACAAAAAAAATTGGCCAATCCAAGCTCCATTAAAAGAACACTGCAGCAGCTTAAAATTTTAAGCTTCAAAAAAAGGAAAAGATATATAGCAGCGACTTGATGAATTTAAGAACTAAAGGAAAGTTTCCACCATTTAGATACACAATGAGGAGCATGTAACAAAGTTTTACCTCTTTGACCTTGACCGAGAGCGAGATCTTGATCTATGACTAGATCTAGCTTTTGACCGAGATCGAGATCTATGCCTGTGCCGGCTTTCTCTATCTCTATCATAATCCCTATGCCTGAAATAGCCAAGAAAGTAAAGAAATTGAGAAATAAAACCTTCTATCCCATAGAGTATACAAAATGATAAGCATCTCAAAAATATTCACAATAAAAAAATAAAAAAATAAAAAAAGGAAGAGGCAACAAACACATGCAGGCATGAGGAAAGAATTGATGCATCTAGCCTTCTGCAGTACATGTACGCAATGCCTAAAAATATATGTTTATTATTTCCTAACTAACAAGAACTTAACATTACAAAGCGATAAGCATCTCAAGTTATACGACAAGTATAGTAAAAGCCTCAAACGTCGCAAAAGAAAACTATGATGTCATAGCAACTATCAATCTGCAATACAACTGGCATTGTCAATCTCCATAAGGTCCTACCTTATATGCTCGACTTAAGTTACTAATTGTGGTTGAAACACAAAGAAATTTAGAATAAAAGAATTAATTTGACAGAATACATGTGGTTTTAAACTGTCCAATTTCATGAACAAGAAAATCAAATTCCTACATTAATAGCATCACATATAAAGATAACATAATTTATGTTTATGACTGATAAAACATTTCTATTAATAAATGAATGAATTTGAGGACACTGATCAATGCATTGTTCAAAAAAAAGTAACTTGAAACAGAAACTACTCTTTTTACCTGTCACGCTCTCGACTATGGTGACGCTCAAGATCATCATCTCGGCTGCGATGACGATCCCTCCTATCACTTCTTTCCCTGTCTCTATGATCCCTGTGATGACGATCACGATCTCTATCCCTGTCTCGGTCCCTATCTTTGTCACGGTCTCTGTCTCTATCACGATCCCTTTCCCTGTCTCTGCTCTTTGAGGACCCTCTTTCACAGTCACGAGAATCATGCTGCAGTCGAAGGATGGTGCAGGTGAGGGATCAATGAAAAGCAAGTGCAACACAATTACATAACATCTATTAACAACAAATTCCTTAGCATTCGACTTTATAATGGCAATGTTTTCACAGGAGTCGTGACCAAATTTTCTTCCATTACAAAGCATTATGCAAATGCAAAGAATGAATCTTTGCGAATAATCAAAACCGGATAAACCAAATTTGAATCTCAAAGAATAGTGTAAAGTAGCACAAAAGGATCAAAGACTTAAAAAATAAAGCACTGCTGCATAAAATCAAAATGAAAATAAAGGAAAAAATGTTAAAGATGTTGGACATTTCCACTCATAAAAGCTTGTTTTTGAAGGGAGGTAACCAAAATCTGTAATAAACCTCCAATGGCTCTCCATTCAGTCAATGTGAGATCACATGTACCTTAACTTACAATCGCCCTTCTGCAGAATTATCGCGCCCGCGTGGCGCTAGCTTAGCCCTAGTCTACCCCCCCCACCCCCCCCACCCACCCCACCCCACAGAACACTAAAATACGATTTTCACACCTGTCAACTTGCACTAAACTATTCTTGCGACAAAATTCTTCCTTCGAGTTCGAAAGCACGGATTAGACTCTGTGATATAATTTGTAGGAGAACTGGAGAAGTGCATCCCAAAAGCTGGCTGATAATCGAAGAGGAACCTAAATATTCTTAACAACCTGAACTCCTTCAACAGAAAAACATATAATTCTAATTTCTAGCTAAAACCAAAATAATTTCTTCACAAATCTCAAGATGCAATTAGCTAACCAAACAAAGCTTAAATCAATAAAAAAAACCATAGGCCATTTTCTTAAACTCTATCCAGCACATAAAATGCAAACCAATAATTACTGCAACAAAGGACCCTAATTAACCTCTTCAAATCCCTACATCACCCATTAAATGACCAAAAAATCTATGGTTCTCTACAAATATAAATGCGAATTTAGCAAATCAAGAGATATAGGGCCAAATTTGTCCGACCTGAGATCCTAGGAAATCGCCCATGCATCGAAACCGCTTGCTCCTATGGATGAAGGAGGCAGGCCCTCGCCGTAGTCGTTGCGTATCCGCCTCCGTTCCCTTCGTACTCTCTCTTCGTACTTCCGCCATCGGTGTAATGACTGCCCTCCTCTTTCTATGAAATTTCTCTCTCCGCTTCCTCTCTCACCGCCCGGGCAAACTGAGCGCTAGCGGTTTTCTGCGTTTTCCGGTCTTTAGAAGGGCGAGCAGACCGCTGCTATATAGATAGCCACGTTAGAAGCGGAGAGAGAAATCTTCGAATAGAAAGAGCGAGCAGTCAATTTAACGCATGGCGGATAGCCTACGAAGAGAGAACGAAGGGAACGGAGGATGCCGGATACGCCAAAACGACTACGGGCGAGGGCCTCTCCCCCCTTCATCATTTAGGAGCCAGCGTTTCGATGGACATCGGGGTTCTAGATCTCAGGTCCAAATTGTTGGCCCTATATCTCTTTGATTTTCTTAAATTTCGCTTTATTTGTAGAGACATAAATTTTTGCGTCATTTAATGGGCTGAGTTTTAGGGGATTTTGAAGAGGTTATTAGGCAGTCTTTTGTTGCCAGCTAATATTGTCCTTTGCAATTTATGTCATGGATAGAGTTTAAGATGGGCCTTGGTTATTTTTATTGATTATAGCTTTGTTGCCGTTAGCTAATTGATCTTGAAGATTTGCTGCAAGAATTATTTTGCGTTTTAGCTAGAAATTAGATTTATATGTTGTTCTGGTTGATGGAGTCAGGTTGTTAGATTATTTAGGTTCCTACTTGCCATTTATAGCCAGCTTTTGGGAGCTGACTTCTCCATTCTTCTACAAAAGCTATATCACAGAGTCTATCCGTGCTTTCGAACTCGAAGGAGAATTTTGTCCAAGCATAGTTTAGGTGCAAAAGCTTGAAGGCTGCTGAAATCGTCTATTTTATGTCGTCGGGTCTTGGTGCCGCGGTGGCGGGTGGGGTGCGGGGGGGGTGGGGGGGGTAGACCTAGGCGCTAAGCTAGCCCACGCGCGGCGGATTATTTCTGCCAGAAGGGGCGATTGCTAAGTTAAGCGTACATGTGATCTCACATTGACTGAATGCGAGAGCCATTGGAGCGTTTATTACAGATTTTGCGTTACCTCCCTTCAAAAACAAGCTTTTATGAGTGGAAATGTCCCAAACATCTTTAACATTCACTTTCCCTTTATTTTCATTATGTGTTTATGCAGCAGTGCTTTATTTTTAAGTCTTTGATCCTTTTGTGCTACTTTACACTATTCTTTGAGATTCAAATTTGCGGTATTATCCGGTTTTGATTATTCCCTCGCCCACAAGCATGGTCATTTCTTTGCATTTGCCACTAGATTGCTTGTAATGGAAGGAAAATTTGGTCACCGATCCTGTGAAATCATTGCCATTATAAAGTCGAGATCTAAGGGAATTTGTTTCGTATAATAGATGCCTAGTAGTAACATGATCGCTGTTGCAACCTTACCCTCTCTGTGAATCCTGATCCCTCACCTTGCACCAATCCTTCGACTGCAGCCAGGTGATATCTCGCTGACTGTGAAAGAGGCGCTCCTCCAAGCCGAGACCCGAGCAGACCCGAGGGGAAAGGATCGTGATAGCAGGACCAGGACGCTGACAAAGATAGGCGACCGCAGACACGGACATAGAGATCGTTGATCGTCATTTCACAGGATCATAGAGACAGCCGGGGAGAAAGAAGTGATAGGAGGGATCGTCATCCGCCTGAGCCGAGATGATGATCTTGAGCCGCTGCGCGACATAGCATCGACGACGCGAAGCGTGACAGGGTAAAAATAGTAGTTCTGTTTCAAGCTTACTTTTTTTTGAACAATGCATGCATCGAGACTCGTGCACCTCAAATTCATTCATCTTATTAATAGAATGTTACCTCAGGTCCCAGATTCCAGAACACTACGGTTTATGTATCTTTATATGTGCTTGCTGATAATGTAGGAGATCCGATATGATTTTCTTGTTCATGAAATTGACAGTTTCACAAGAACCCAGCATTGTTATTGCTGCTCAAATTAATTCTTTTTTCTAAAATTTCTTTGTGTTTCAACCACAATAGCTAACTGTAAGTCGAGCACTCGAATAAGGTCACGGTTGCTTCATGGAGATTGACAATGCCAGCTCCTCGGTATTGCAGATGATATTGCTATGACATCATTAGTTTCTTGCGACACGTGACTCCTCGTGATCGGGGCTTTTTACTATACTGTCGCGTATAACTTGAGATGCCGGACCCGTTGGCCTTATCGCTTTCGGTAATCGTTAAGTTTCTTTGTTAGTTACGGAAAATAATAAACATATATTTTAGGCCCAAGTTGCAGTGACATGTACTGCTCTAGAAGGCGTAGGATCGCCTCAATTCGTCTTCCTCATAGCCCTGCATGCTCCTACTTTTGTTGCCCTCCTGACCTTTTTTTAGTTTGTGGTTTATTTTATTTGTGAATATTTTTGAGCCCCGGCCCACCGAGATGCTTTGACTCATTTTGTATACTCTATGCCGAGCATTATAGCTAAAGGTCTCTACCTTTCTCAATTTCTTGTACTTTCTTGGCCTATTCAGGAATAGGATCATGCGATAGAGATAGAGAAGCCGCACAGCATAGATCTCGACCGTACTTGCGGTCAAAAGCTCCAATCTAAGTCCGTGAGATCCCCGAAATCCTCGCCTCTCGGTCAAGGTCAAAGAGGTTAAATACTTGTTACATGCCTCCCATTGCTGTATCTATATATCGGTGGAAACGTTCCTTTAGTTCTTAAATTTCATCAAGTCGCTCCCGACCCGTTTGCATGATGATATCTTTTCCTTTTCCAAGGCTAACAAATTTTCAAGCTGTGCTGGCAGTGTTCTTTTAATGGGCTTGGATCTCGCCGCCAAATTTTTTTGTCCATATCAGCTTGTGTAGTCAAGTTGACTTGCAAAATGATGAACGGTGATTGAAATGTTGACCTACTATTTTCCGCAGACCAAAAGAAATCATACTGGCTCCGGCAAAGGCCATCTCTCATAAATAGGAGAAGTGGTGCATTAACTATGCCCGCACATCCAGTTCAATATCCGACCGAACCCTCGATAGTGCATTGAATACATGTCCAAATATATGCAAAGTCACGTCACTGTATCGACAAATTAAAGCTAACATTGTGTTCATAGCTGAATATTTTAGCTCAATTTTTCTTCATTGTGAGCGATGCCCTTACTAATGTTTAGGTATATCTTCCAATCAAAGTTGCGTTTGTTTTTTTTTCATAAAAAAATGGCTATATAATTAATGTGCATGACAGAGCCATGATGTGACACAACATGCCTATACTGATGCACAAACTGGAAACGAGTCTTAAGTGACACCCAAAAGAAGTGCGCCTGACCCTCTGACAGGCAAGATCGAAATAGAGTTTGACACGAGATGACTTCATAAGTATCCGTGCTTCTTAGAGCGAGTTTAATAATCTCACATGTACGCTGAATAAAATATATATATATTCATATTCATCACAATAGAAGAAAAAAACACAAATGGCAACTTACCATATAGCTTTGCCAGGTATACTTATATGTCCCATTATGCTACTACGTGACTTCCTTGTGTGCACTTTGTAGTTAATTGTGGAATGAATGGATGTTCTAGGCGCATGTTGGCGGTGTTGACCCCTGCGTCTGATCTCGGACTCGTATGCAAATAGAAATTGCTTGCCTGGTGGACGATTTCAGGAGTGGTATTTAATACTTGACTCGCGCTCCTATCACAACGTCCACATAATTCTTCTATGCGATTGTCTATGTTTCAAATGAAGAATTGTCTGGTTAGTCATGCGCTTCATTACTGTAGTTACTCCCTGTTTCGCAATAGTGCAATTTTCCCCCTGAAATATTCTTACCTAGTTTTGTTTTTAATTGCTGCCAGTAAAAGAATCAGTGCGCTTTGACATGGTCCT